TTTTGTGTGTGTAACAAGAACGTTTCGTATTTAAGTGAGAAAATTATATGTACACCGAAAGTTATAGTTCATTAAAACTACGTAAAATATATATGTTATTTTTATACGCACAGTAAAATGTTACAAAAAGTAAAAATCCATCGGATTAAGTAACTTAAATTTGTGGATCTCCTAAATTATTTTTATAAAAAAAAGGGAGAATTCCAAATAAACAAGAAATAAATCCGTCAGTCTCCATAAATCAGGAAAAAGTGTATGAACTATCACAGTCAACAAACGTTTTGCTTACACTGTCGTTTTTGATGCTATTTATAGCCCCATCTTTTTAGTTCAGGAAAGATCAGTTCTGTACCAAAGTAGGCCTGCTGCGCGGATATTTTGCCCAATCACCCACCCCTTTCCGGCTGTTATACATCTTCTTTCTCTATATGCTCTTTAGTACACGCAGAATCTCCGTCGTCCGAGATCGCTACGTCACCAGTTGCCTGGCAACCGTCTCTTTTACAGGGGAAATTCAATCATTTGTTTTGATAGAGTTTCCACTTCCATATGTGGAGAGCTTAGTTAGCGAAAGTTCGGGGAAAATATGAAATAAACATTTTTCAAGCCTAATCTGTGCTCTTATGTCTATTTCGAGAATAATGTTTGTTAATTTATCGAATTAATTAACATTTTATCAACTGCAATGTTTGAACGCCCTACATGATGCGGAAAAGTTTGTATATTATTCAAACACATATATTTATCTTGAGCTATTAAAGTTCCACAAATTAACTGAATATTACCATACTGAAAACGTTTGTCCAATTGCAATCTCAACTCATTGAAGCCGTTTTAAAGATAATATGCCTTGATTACTACAGCTTCGTTATATACGCATTGATAGTTTTTTCATATGCTCTAATAGTCATTTTAACCTGACGAGAAAAGGGTTTTTTTTTTTAGAAATTATTTTATTACTTACAGAATTTTAACTGCTAAAGGTTTTAATAAAAGCCTAATTCATGTATAAACATATATTGTATTTGCACTGGTTTGGCCCGTCTTGACAACAGCTTCATATTAAACTGAGGAATTATTGTCTTTCAGAAAGGTCTAATTTTTAATAATGATTTTATAAATACAATAATAATAAGCTTTTACACAATTCTTACATAACTGTCTGAAGTATTTTATTCAAAGAAAATACAAACAAACATTTTTTCTTTATTAATGTCGATATCACCTTTTTACTTTTTTGGTGTTAAGATACATATAAGTAGGCTTAGCTTATTTTAATTAATATATATGAACAATACTTTTAAGTTATCCTTGGGTTTTAGACTCTATCACTTCTAACAATCTCTTGAAAATCGTTTTCAATAACTTTCAATGTATAAAAAAATATCTCATCACATTTTTAGCGAAATGGCGATGCGTGAAAAGTGTAAGATTCGAACTTAAACTTTAAACCCTATAATTACAACTTCAGGCAAGAACTCGCTGCCAATAAATACGTTTAAATGCCTCAAGAGGGAGCCACGAGTCGGAGTAGGATTGATTTATTCCTTAAATAATTCGTTCTCTCGACCAGACGTCCCAATGTCCCATTCTTTAAGAGCATTTAAAATTAACTCAAGTTGTTCTTATTTACTTTAAACTACTCGCCTGTACATGCCCTAAGGATTTTGTTACCAGGCCAGAGAAACCTAAAATAGTTTTGATTTCAACTTTACACGTGAAATTGTTGAATAACACTGTGTTTTCTCCCTCTTTCGGAAAAAAGAAAAAAGAATCTTAGGAAGAAAATAAACAACACATTCGTAAAGACCTAATGAACAGTGAAAATGAAATGGCGTTCAAGTCAAACAAAATCTTAGAATATATGTTTAAAGTACAAATGTTAAGTTCATCTGGTACCTCTTGTTTTGTTTGACATTACACTGGAGGCGTTTTTTAAGTACAAATAGTATTCCTTTTCTAAGCCTTGAGTGCTCCAGTTTAAAAAAAAAAAGTTTGATATAACCATTGAAGTCACATACGTTGTTATTGTTCAAGATGTTAGTCAAGTATTGTTTCATTCAGTGTCAGACTGAAGTCACATACGGTGTTATTGTTCCAGATGTTAAACAAGTATTGTTTCACTCAGTGTCAGATTAAAGTCACATACGTGGTTATTGTTCCAGATGTTAAACAAGTATTGTTTCATTCAGTGTCAGATTGAAGTCACATACGTGGTTATTGTTTCAGATGTTAACCAAGTATTGTTTCATTCAGTGTCAGATTAAAGTCACATACGTTGTTATTGTTTCAGATGTTAACCAAGTATTGTTTCATTCAGTGTCAGACTGAAGTCACATACGGTGTTATTGTTCCAGATGTTAAACAAGTATTGTTTCACTCAGTGTCAGATTAAAGTCACATACGTGGCGTATGTGACTTCAATCTGACACTGAGTGAAACAATACTTGTTTAACATCTGAAACAATAATTGTTATTGTTCCAGATGTTAACCAAGTATTGTTTCACTCAGTGTCCGATTGAAGTTGCATACGGTGTTATTGTTCCAGATGTTAGTCAAGTATTGTTTCATTCAGCGTCCGCT